GGCTCATAGTATATTGAACCTCGACCAGAGGAAAATTTGCCTTTCTATAGATGTTGTTCAGGATCGCATAATCATGTGATTTATATGGAAGCATAGTTGTGATTCATGCGGAAGCATAGTTGTGATTTATGCGAAAACATCGTCTTGAGGCTGTTGATATGGTAGACATGATGGTATGTTTACAGTCTGTTGTGGAATTTGTCCTTAGGCGGAATCTATGCGCGAAGGAAAAATTCGAGACGGTCCGGTATGCATGAAAACATGTCTCGTTTTGAATTGCACACGGGGCGTGTCCGCATTTCGTCGCGCATATCCTCGTCTATCATCCGCTATCGTGTACGGAAACTACAAAAATTCATGTTATTATACGAGATGATTCGCTGACTAATGCCTTTACTAGCCTCTGGTCTCTTACGAAAAGAGCGCGCAACAGTTTTTCATCAATTAGTAGCTAGTTAACGGCTTTCTTTACTACCTACCAGTGGCGTACCCAGGATTTCGGCTCGGGGGGGGGGGGGCGACAAAAATTTTTTTCTAAAGAAGGTGCGTGGCGTTAGCCACGCACTCCGAAAAAATTTTGGGGGTGCTTCTCAAAATTTTTGCGGGTCCCCGACCCCTAAAATCTGGAAAAAGGGGGCGTGGCGTCAGCCACGCCCCCGAAAAAATTTTTTTTACAAGGCTAATTTGAATTTTTAAAAATTTTTGAAAATTATTTTAATTATTTACAAAAATAAACAAGTCACTTGCACATTTTTATAACCCATATAAGTAACTTTCAAAAATTTCGCGACCCATTCTGGGGGGGGGGGCGCGGCCCCCCCCCCCCGCCCCCCCCTCGGTACGCCACTGCTACCTACTGGTCTCTTACGAAAAGAGCGCGCAGTTTCAATATTCAGTGGTATATGATCATCAACTAACGCCTTTACTAGCCTTTGGTCTCTTACGAAAAGAGCGCGCTAGAGGTCGCGCTGTTGCTAAACATTCCTTGTCGAGTCGGTGCATCAAAATTCCTACTGTTCGAGATGGAGCCGTCAGATTCCGCGCTCTGCAAGCTTTTATGTTGAGTTACGAATTCTCGAGGATGTATTAAGTCATCATCTTGTTAGTATGATTTTTTGTAGCATGATAACGAGGGTTGCACTTGTTTCAGAGGCGACGTAATGAGAAAGTGGTATCCCGTACTTGTCGTTTCCGTGCGATCCAAACAGCATCTGAGCAATGTAGCATGTGTCTTCTTAGCACTCAGTGTCCCTAAGTGAAATTAGTGTGCAACTTTTTAAGGAATAGATGCTATATATTACAGTCGGGTCATTTTATATGATCATGCGTTATTACTAAATATTACTTAAAGCTAAGAAAACGAATCAGGCTTAAAACATTCCTATGGGATCTACGAGGTTTAGGCTATCGGTCCATATAAATAGGGTTTGCTAAAAATGTTTTCTATATAGTTAATGGGGTGTGAACATCCTCTTGAAAGCTGTGGCAGCCACAGCTTTAAAGGCAGTGTCCGGGCAAAAACTCGATTTCGAGATTTTGTGCTTACTTGAACCTATTCGCTACGCTGAATCCGAAAATGCACATTGTAGAGCGCGAAAATGGCGAAAAACGGCTCTAACACAGGAGGGAAATGAGCAGGTGGGCGGGGTCTTCCCCACTGCAAATTCACGTTCCCGGCTTCCGGAGCGACCTTCTCGCTTCCGGTTTCAAGTCAGTCATTCGCACTTGACCAGTAGCGATGTTAGGACGGCTAGCGGAATCGAGAAAGTCGCTCCTGGAGCTGGGAGCGTGAAATCGCTGGGGAAAGCCCCGCCCACCTGCTGATTTCCCTCGTGTGTTAGAGCCCTTTTTCGCCGTTTTCGCGCTTTCCAATGTGGATTTTCGGATTCAGCATGGCGAATAGGCCCGTATAAGCACAAAATCTCAAAATCGAGTTTTTGCCCGGACACTGCCTTTAAGGGGGTGTGCCACACCCCATTAACTATGTCATAAAAACATTTTTAGCAAACCGTATTTATAAGGATCGATAGCCTAGATCTCCTAGTTTTCACAGGAGTGATTTGAGCCTCATTCGTTTTCTTTGCTCTGAGTAATAGTTGGTGAAAGCACAGTCATCAAAAGCGAAAAATGGGAAGAATGAGATTTTGGTTGGCTTCCAATTCCACAGTTTGGAGGTCTTTTGAAGCGAGATTTCTGAGGTGGACAAGAACGAGTAGTGCTTTGTCTCGAGTGCAAAAACGGATAGCTAATTCACCTTTAAAACAAAGTTAATCATGTTGGAAAATGACAATTTCACTTAGGTAGCCTAGTACCTTGAATCTTCGGAATTCGCTCAATCTTTGTCTACAAGGGTTAATTGACATGCTCATTATGGATATGCTGCCCATGCCCATTATGTTTGACAGGGCCTTCGAGTAATGCTATCTTGGGTACACAGGGTGTCCATAAAGTATGTATACACTGTTTGATCGTTAATATCTTTCTTCTCAACAAGTCTTTTGCCTTGCTTCAGCTACCGTTTTGTAGAGCTGGCTTTAACTTAGATTTAAAACGAATCACTGGTTGTTCTCCATTATGGTAGAAAACTCAAAACATATGGTGAAGCTGCCGTCTTGAAATTTTTCAAAAATGACTTGTGTAATAGGGTTCTTATGGACCGCTGATTACAAGATTGCGAAGCTTTCTAAACGGCGTAACCGCACTTTTTAGGAACATTGACTTGGCATAGCTTTTCAATGGAGCATCATAATAAGTTGGGAACTCTACAGTTATAATCAACAGCTCTAATTAGCCTAGTGTAAAAGCTTTCAAGCTGTTTTGTTTCCTTTCCGAGGCAAAATATGGCCTTTCACGGCCTCAAAACCCCCTCTGAAGTTTCCACTGTAATCCTACGGTCATACCTTCGATAGTCAAGAGACAGAAGCTGGAAAGTGTTAGTTGTTTGAGCTCCTGCCCCTATAAGAAATGAAGGTTGTTGCAGAAAAATAAATGGAAATTTAGAGATATGAATTGAACCGGGAAACTTGAAAAATTCATATAAAGCAGAGGTTAGCACGTCACCAAATTTACAACATTAACTTGGTGGTTTCCTACGTATTTCCTCTTCAGAATTGCCGGTTAAATTGGGTGGCAACAATAACAAAGTTCTTTTCCAATCAAAAAAAGCTTGTTTAGCTGTGGCGGTAGTTGGGAGACCGAAAGAAGGAAAACTTGTCAACAACTGAATGAACATGTTAAACACGTCTAAAAAGATTTGTTACACATCGACGCAAATCTGATTTTTGATGCGTCCTTTAAATTTTCACCCCCCGCATAGTTGTTTCGTATCCTGCGACGTTGTCTAGATTCTTCCGCTCATCATTCTGAGCAAGTATCGTCCAAGCTGGAAAAAATTCGTTGCGAAAGCACTGAGGAAGAACAAGGTAAAGAAAAACGCATTTTTTAGTAATTTTCACAAAAAAACCGGCATAAGCAAAGAAGTAAGCTCGGCGACGTTCTCTACATCATGGACAGAAACAAGACCTATCGACTACATAAAAAAGCCTATTGAAAAAAGTTAAATTGAAGAAAAAACAAGAGGTTTTCGAAAATGCCGTTGCTTCCAGATTTCTCGTTTAAATCATAAAAAGGAGTCTTGCGACGTTGTCAACGTAAAAATAGAGATCAAGAGCTCTAAAATAACATATAGATTGCCATAATTGGGCCGAACAACGAAGAAAAGGGTACCAGAGCCAAATGCCCCGCGCCCCGCCTTTGGGGTAGCGAGGTAGCGCGCAGAGCGCAGAGACGCAGACGAGCAGCGGAGACAGACCAGAGCCGACGGGGCATTTGGCTCTGATTATTGAACTTCGCGCGGTCATAACGAAATCCTACAGTGCATGTTAATGAGTAGCTCATAAGTCCGTAGCTCTTACGCGTACGCATCGCAAGGCTGATGCGCTTCGTTCGTGTGCGTACGGCTTGGGCCGTTGCCAACCCTCGATCGATGACGTCTGTGGGAGTTGGCAAAATGCCCTGCAGGCCGCTCGCGCACGTGGCGCACGGGATTTGCGGCGCGTGCATGCAAATCGAGGACTGCACTAAAGGGAATAGGTTTTTGACATTGCCTATATAACATTATATATCGTTGTGATCCTCATGAATTGGCCAGGAGCACTGACAACGTCGCGGGTCTTGAAAATCACTCCATAACGACATAGACCAGCATTTATGTGGCAACTCTCTGTGCTGGACTTGAGCGCAGTTTCTCGTTTTCATTGAACTCGAGCGGCTTTCATGAGCTTCCAGCGCTCAATCGCAGTCTCGAGGAAGGTTAATTCGAAAATGTTGTCCTAGTTTCTAATTGAATTTTTGATAAAAACCTTCTCCTCAGCAAAAAGGGGCCATAAAAACGCATTCCTTCGGTTTTTTGAGCTTCTTTTGGATGTCACTACTATACTTGACTCGTTCACATTTATGCCTATGATTACGTCATTAGTTGCGTTGTAATATCCGGGGCTTCGCCCCGGATGACTTCTGCACTTCTCTCCAGGTGAAGGTTGTGTTCTATCATGACGCTCAAAGTGAGGGTTACCAGAGTACATGGCTCTATGTATCGAAGGTATGCCTACGGTAATGACGAGCGATCGGTGACTCGTTCTATACTGTAAATCTAAGTTAAAGCCAGCTCTACAAAACGGTATCTGAAGCAAGGCAAAAGACTTGTTGGGAAGAAAGATATTAACGATCAAACAGTGTATACATACTTTACGGACACCCCGTATAATTCAGGGGGGCGGGGGGCCTTACTGAGACAGCAATCAGGGGGGGAGGGGGGGGGTCGTAACCAGCGATCGTGTGCCACACCCCGTGCTTGACCCTGGTCCTCACTGACAAAAGTTTTGGCGCAGGCGTGATCTATTGTTGTGCAATTGCACTGTGCCCACTGAAATTTGACGTTGCTATTTCAAATGACAGTTTATGTTTTTTTCTTGAACTAACTTCACTCAAGTTTTTAGTTTCTGTGTGATCAGTTGTGAAGATTTTTGCAGTAAATGGTGACGAAAACATCAGCATCTAGTCCGATTGCTGTCTGGATGCAAAAGTGGGGAAGCTACGTGGAAAGTATTCCCAATATTCTCCTTCGCGTCAAACATCCCAATTATTTTGGAGAGGACATTAGAGGTGAGATTTCATATTATTCTGTTAGCAAAGCTCACATGGAAAAATAGGAAGAACATCCTTTTGTTATAAAGAACTGCTGCGATTCAATCGAGGCATTGTTTTTCATCAATGCTCCTATCGAATTGCTTGCTGAATCGGACGTATAAGGTTGATTAGGTATACCGGATTTCTCTGGAGATGTCATGGATGTCGACTGGAATCTGGTAATGAGTCTTCGACCAACAGTTATTGAAATAACTCACAGTAGAAACCCATTGTCAAACTTAGTGGCAGCTCTCAAGGATATCGAGCAAACTAAAGTGGGTCTAGTTTTGAAATTTGTTCTTCTATCTCTAATTTGTGTTTTGAAGTTGCAAGACTTTTTCGCAAGACTGAAGTTGCTTACTTTGGACAGGGCTGATATATCAGTCGATGATCTACTCTTTCTTCTGCAGAAGTAAGATTTTTTCCGTGCAATAACCGGCAAAATGTTGCGTGCAGTTGTTCAGACTCAAGCTGCTCGAAGGCTTTTCGTTTTCTGAAATGGACTTTACAAGAAAAGATTGGGCTCGTCTCTTGCCAGAGTTTCAAAGGCTGAATATACGAGCTATGGAGATTACTAATGATATACTGGATACAGTGCTGGACAAAATGAATGTGGAGCTTGTCAAGTTGGCAACATTCCCAGGAGTCAAAGTCGACATGCTCAAGGTTTGACATGCAAAATCTAACATATCACATTTATCTTGCTTTCTTCCGAAGGCCCTTCCATATTTTTGGTCCTGTCAATTAGGCTCTTCAGAAATGTTCTGCAACGTTTGTCACTGTTTCAACACTCGTCATCCAAGAGCTGGATTACACAAATGATCAGGATGCGGAGGATCTAATTGCTTGCGTTGAAACAAAGTATGTAGGTTTGTATATTGTATGCTTGGCCTCAACCGCTCTTTGTTAGTGAATTTTAAGGTTTCCTCGTTTGAAAACGCTTCTTTGGGACTGGAGTGTCGTAGATCCCGCTGTTACAGCTGACGAGCGATCGAAGATTGTCATTGGACGACTTGTGGGACTGTTCAGGTAAGATGACCGATTTGATACTTTTTGTTCCTTTTTCACAGTTTTCTTTCTTCAGTTCATGTTATACATTTGTCTTATTCTTCTTTTGACATAAATTTCTTTCCTTGCTCATAAATCGTGTAGACATCACTGCTTAACACTCATTGTCATGAATCTCCGTAAAACTTGCAGATCTGGGCATATCAAAGTGTCTATCCAAATGTTGCCGATACGTTGTTACTTTCTCTTCTATTAGAACTTTCGCGGAGTTTTTTTTTATTTGTTTGTCTTGCCATGCTTGGGCAGAAGAATAGTCGTCTTGTAGGGAGGTTTACTCAATTCCTCAGAAAAGTAGCCGTCTTGTCGGGAGTACTAATTCTCGATCTCCCTTTCGTTAATGTAAAACCTTTATTTTGGAATTCTCTGATGATTTTCAATGATTTTCAATTATTGGCTCATTTTCTCGAATGTTTGGTTTTTTTACAGAAAACTGAAACTGCAATGTTTTGCCATCGTTACCTACACTCCTGATGCTAGCACCAAGTATGCCTCAGGAGAGTTGGCTCGTATGCTAGCCGAAGCAGATCTTCCGCTTGTCCAGCTGCATAGATTTGCTTCCAAAGGTTTATCTGAGGTGCATAATCAACCATATTAGAGACGACAGTGTATCCACAAGCTTTATTTAGGGGCAAGATAACTTTACGATTATAACGGCGGGAGAGGATCGTGTGACGCGAGCCAAAATCCACTCAATTTTTGTGGATGGTAGGACATCTGCCCCCGACCTTCGGTGAGTCAAGATTTTTGGTAGGGTTTATGGGTTTCCAGGCAGTCTTGTTCTAAAAGGCTCGTATTCAGACTTTTGCTCCAACTCATTGATGACTTCAGTCCATCATTAGATATTGTCAGGACCGTAGAGTTTGGTGGGTTTGACGCCGACTATGTGAAGAAGACATACGATTCGAAGAAGAACGAAGATCAGTCTTAAAGAAGTTTTTTTTCATATTTACATTGAATTTGTTTCTTGTTGAATTTCAGAATGCTAATAAATTATGTTTATAATTCTTTGTTATTGTACCATATCGTGTAAGTTCAAGTTATTACTGTCGAAGGAATATATTCCATCTATTGTGAATCAGTGATTGATATTGGTACATCATAAACCAGCATTTCATGATTACATTCTCGTCGCTACAAATCTGCAAGTAGAACCACTTCAGAGCTTTTGAATTTTTGAGGATTAAGCATTCAGAAATTTTACTAATCTCAAAATTTCATGCTTGCAAAAAAAGAAGAGAGCTGTTATTCCACCCCTCATCCAGTCTTCAATGTTGTTTCTTTCTCTACTTAACTGGCATGCTTCACTTGGTACAATTCGCTTCATATCTATCTCGTAGCTCTTTACTGCACTTCCTTCTAGTGAATGGCTCGAGAGTTGACAGAAGAAGAGAAACGGAGGATAGCAGCGAACAAAGCAGAAGCTTTGCGTCGAGCCGAGGAAAGGAAAAGAAGAGAGGCACTTGCTGCTGTTCAAGTACGTAGGTAGCTGGCAACCCAGAAAACAATCTATATTAGGAGAAGAAGGGCGTCGGAACTTTTTTTGAGTAGTTCAATCTCTGCCTCGTCTGATTTGAACCATTTAGCAAAAGAATGTGCCATTTCTACAACAACCCTCTCATGTAATCGCTGGGGTATCTGCGACACCACATCCCGCACCCCATCAAGCGCCAATTTCATCTTTTTTGGGGGTGCGTTCTTTCGTTTTTTTGCTCCATAGTTTTTTAATTCCAGTTTTGGTTAAGGCGAGCAAAGTTATCGCACAGAATCACAAGCCTCCAACACCTGCTCGATTGCCGAAATCAAACGTACAAGTTGAATTCAGTGTGCTCACAAGTGATAGGTTGAAGGTACTATGGACTCTTTCCTGAGTATAGCTGTTGATACACCTAGTTTAGATCCGCTTTTCCCCCTATCATGTTGCTGTACTGGAGGCAATCAAGTCCGTACCGTCTCGTGCCTATGATTCAAAAGATCGTACTTGGAGTATAGATGTACGAGAAATGAAGAAATGTGAGGAAGCCCTCAAAAGTCTTACGGTAGTCATGAATCTACATAGCGGCTTTGCAGTATTCTTGGTACTTTCTTTTATAGCCGGTTGATGTTACCATAGAACATGTTCCTGACAATGTAATGAAACTTTTAACCGATACGGAAGGGAAGCATGTTGTTCCTACTGATTTATCCTTGATTATGGATCCAGCCTTGATCGAGCGGTTGTTTCCTTTTCAAAAAATTGGAGTCACGTAAGTGCTGGCAGTATCGGGATGGTTGAGAAATTCCGGATGTATTTGTAGATTTGGTATTGAAAAGAATGGACGCCTACTACTTGCCGATGAAATGGGCCTCGGGAAATCTATACAGGCGCTTACTTTGGCCCGGTATTACAAGTGAGTTAGTTCGAGGATTCAAAGCTTTAACTAATAGTTGCGAGGAGCTTTTTTTGGAGAATAGAGAGTAAAGTTCATGCTTGATTTCCCGTAGATCACTCTCCCTTTCGCTTTCCGCCACAGATGTTTTTGTCTAATCACTTCAGCTTGATTATTTTTAAATCAGAATGCAAACTTCAGAGCCGAGTGGCCACTATTGATTGTATGTCCCTCGTCAGTTAAGAGTGCATGGAAAGGGGTTAGTTTTTATCTGCTACAGTACTCGTGTCTTCGCCGCCTTGTATCTGCCTGTTTTCAGCAAATTAATAAGTTTCTTCCTGCCATTCAACGGATACATCTTATCGACAAAGGAACAGATGTCCTGCCAGATGCTCGAACATCTAATACGGTAATGTTGGTGCCCACATAAGCACTTATCTTGACTCATGAGCGCAGAGCGCGTTTGGGATCTATGTGTCCCTTCCATAGTGGGCCCTTTCGCGGTTAGGCTGTGGTTCTATAAGGAGCTTACGATTTGTTAGTCTATAATTTTTGAACGATATAGCCCCCAGTAGCCTTCTCTGGTTTGAAGAAAAATAAAACAGTTGATCCGGTTCAGATTGTATTTCTTCCGTACTCAAGAAAGCCATTCGCTCCGCTCGAAAAATTTAGGTATGGGCTGGAGCTTAGAGGTGGATTTTTGAACAGCGAATGAATTTGCTGAGCTGGCGCTTGAGCATTGACTTGAACAAGGTCTTTCATTTACTATCCATGCAAAAAATACACCTATCCTAATTTTTGGACGCTGTCATTATAACAAGTCTAGGGTTGATATTCGTCTGACTCAATTGAAATGCATCGTTACAGGTTGTAATCATGAGTTATGACCAGATGGTTATAAAGAAAAAGGAGCTGGAAGCTGCCTGTTACTACGTCATTATATTTGTGAGTTATGTAACTTTTTTCGCTCTTTGCTCAGAACTTTTTTCTTAGGATGAGTCGCACTTGCTGAAGGATGGAAAGGCAAAGCGTACCCAAGTGGCTTTGTTATTGTCGGTAAGTGACCACCTGATACTTTTGAAACTATTTCTTAACCTTCTATTTTCAGAGAAAAGCGTCACGAGTGATTCTTCTATCTGGTACTCCAGCCCTGTCACGGCCAGCCGAGCTGTTCTCACAAATACGACTAGTGAACGATCGGCTGTTTCCAAATTTCCATCAGTTCGCTATTCGTTATTGTGACGGAAAGCAAGGCCGATTTTGTTTTGAGGTAAGTCAGACGTGTTTTTTTCTCAATTTCACCGCAAATATTCACAGGCTAAAGGATGTACCAATAGCGAGGAGTTGACCGCCATCCTGTCGAAGAGGGTAATGATACGTCGATTGAAGTCCCAGGTGCTCACGGATCTGCCAGATAAGAGGAGAGAAGTAGGGAAAAGTTATATTGCTAGTGCTTGGATGAGTTCGGTATGTTTGCTACTTAGGTGGTATACCTTTCTGGCGACAAAATCGATGCTCGCATGAGCAGTTTGCAAAAAGCAAAGAAGGCATATGAGACGACCAAACAACAAAATTCGGTAGGCAGTTGGAAAATCTCTCCTTTTAACAGGGGATCCCATTCTGAGTGTCACGGTCGGCGCTCGCGTCCTCGCGAGTCTCCTCGCTGATTTCTCGCTGCGTTCGATTCAGCGGGTACGGTATTTCTCCACACTCGAGGCATGAAAACTATCGTAAGCTTAGACATCAATGGCTACGAGTTTGGGAAAATGCTTCAAGACACGTTCGCGAACGCGTAAGTGGCCCAAGCGAGGCTGCTGGCGAGAAATCGAGCCGCGGATCATGACACGCAAATCGAATCCCCTAAAGAAATATTAATCATTTCATGTAACAAAGAAAAACCAACTTATGCTTTTCAGGACACGAAAGGTTCCCACGAGTGCTTACTTGAATACTTCAGTCTGACAGGCATAGTAAAGGTGTGCCAATTTTTTATTTACTGTTTGTTTTCATTTTTGAGTCTTTTCTCAATTTTTTGGCATATCAAATACTATCACGCTGCAGTTACTTTCAGGCAGCTGCGGTTTGCTCTCATATACTGGACAATTACTTTTACCCCGACGCTCCCAAGAGGAAAGTGCTAATTTTTGCCCATCATCAGATCGTTCTTGATACAGTCCAAGTGGAGGTAAGTTTGAGTTTCTCTCTTATCTTTTTCTTCAAAGGCATGTATGTTTAGGTTCAAAAACGGAACTTGAAATCGATAAGAATTGATGGGCAAACATCTTCAAAAGATCGTGGTAGTCTTTGCCAAGCTTTCCAGGTACATTATTCCTAAATATTACTAGCTTTTCGCACGAGCAATTTTTGGTTTAATGACTTTCTGCAGGATGATCCGGAAGTTGAGGTTGCTATACTATCCATGACAGCCGCTGGAGTTGGAATAACATTGACTGCTGCGTCTGTTGTAGTGTTTGCTGAACTGCATTGGAATCCTGGGACTTTGCTGCAGGTAAGAGGCAGTGATTTTCATCAAAGATTCCAACCCTTGTGCTGATATAATGATTGGCAGTTTGCTTACAGTTGTTAGAGCTGGCAAATATAGTGTCTTTGCAGTGTCGACATCTGCTAACACGTTGCGCGTAAGCAAATTGTAACACCTGTAATGCTGCAAGCGTGTGCAAAAGACTGCAGAGGGCACATTTTTCCACGTGCAAGTGTTGTTGTTGAATGTCGGCAACTTGAAGTCACTATCAGTCAGTCAGCTGTATTAGCCTATCTTATATATAAAGCTGAATGTCTGTTTGTATGTATGTATGTCTGTATGTATGTATGTACGTATGTTCCGAATAGAAATTTTTATTTCTGAACCGATCCGGACCAAACTTGGCACACATACATTTCGGGCCCCGGCGGGTGTCATAGGCTACTTTTCGTCATCGATCGATATCGATTTTATCGATTTTTATCGATTTTTTGCTGAGTTCACCTACGGGGCTGGGAGTTGGCACAGGGGGGTAATCGAGCATGGGGATTCCGAATACAACATTGGTTTTCAGGATTATCGATTACTTTTATCGATTTTATCGATTTTTTTGCAAAGTTTGAGCCACGGGGCTGGGAGTTGGCACAGGGGGGTAATCGAGCATGGGGATTCCGAATACAATATTGGTTTTCAGGATTATCGATTACTTTTATCGATTTTATCGATTATTTTGCAAAGTTTGAGCTACGGGGCTGGGAGTTCGCACAGGGGGGTAATCGAGCATGCTGATCATCCCCAAGGGGAGTGATCAGCATGCTTGATTACACCCCTGTGCTAAACTCCAGCCCTGCAGGTCAAACTTTACAAAAAAAATCGATAAAATCGATAAAAGTAATGGACGATCCTGAAAACTAATATTGTGTTCGTAAACAGCATGCTCGATTACCCCCCTGTGCAAACTCCCAGCCCCGCAGGTCAAACTTTACAAAAAAAATCGATAAAATCGATAAAAGTAATGGACGATCCTGAAAACTAATGTTGTATTCGGAATCCCCATGCTCGATTACCCCCCTGTGCCAACTCCTAGCCCTGTAGGTGAACTCTGCAAAAAATCGATAAAAATCGGTAAAATCGACATCGATCGATAACGAAAAGTGGACTGTTACACCCGCCGGGGCCCGAAGTGTATGTGTGCCAAGTTTGGTCCGGATACGGCGGAGCCGGGTAAGCCAGCTAGTACCTGGATAAAAGGAGGCAGTGGCGTATTGAGTGGGGGGGGGGGGGGGGGAGAAGGGGCGCCCCCGAGAATGGTTCGCGAAAATTTTGGAAGTTACTTACGTGGGTTATAGAAAGTGCAGATGACTTGTTTATACTTGTAAATAATTAAAATAGTTTTTAAACTTTAAAATTTATCTTAGCCTTCTAAAAATTCTTTTTCCTTTTCTGAAGTTCCGGGGTTCTGAGCTCGCGAAAATTTTAGGGACCACACCAAAAAATCTTTCGGAGTGCGTGGCTGACGCCACGCACCTTCATCGGAAAAATTTTTTTGTCTCCCACCCCCTCCCCGAGCCGAATCCTGGGTACGCCACTGAAAGGAGGGTATCTTCGATCCTGTCGCTACCATGCTCCAATGCTCCTTCTGCTGCCTCGCTTTCTGGAGCTTTTTTGGTTATGCTTGCTCGGTGCTTGGTGGTGGAGTCTAACATGATATAGTTCTTTTGTAAAATCGTGACGACGAATTTGACTGCGGACTTTGCGCCCACAGAAGCATAACACCCTTATACAAAAAGGCATCACCTCAACATTCAGCTCCGTCACTTCCAGTGTCCAAGTACTATCATATCTAAGCAGAAAAACCAGTCGAGTATAGATCAGAACCAAGAGAATGCTGTTCCCAGAAGGTGCGTGCGTGTCGCGCGCGGTCGCGCCATCGTCATGATTTTTCGAATGCCCTATACAATTAGGGATCATACTCTTCCTATAAGTGCGCCATGTTTTAGGCGGAGGATCGAGCGCATCGTGTGGGGCAGAAAGATAGTGTTTTTGTACAATATCTCATTGCAAGAAATACAGCTGACGACATCATCTGGCCTTTGGTACAAAGGAAGCTTGATGTGCTGGGCCAAGTAAGCTTTATCTACCACCCATAATCTTTACCTAATTACTTATCTAGGTAAACCTATCAAATGAGACCTTCCGTAATGCGGAGTCATCTCATCTGAAGTGCGAAACTCAAAGCAGTCATCCGAAGGAAATCACAGACTTCTTCAATCATGGTGATCCGGAATGTAGCGTTAAACGAGCGCGTTTGGATGACTAATGTTTATTTCATTTTTGTATACTGATCTCTCTTATATTGCCTCTACCATACGGGATCTTTACTGATGTGTGAATTGCAACTCCAGTGTTTTTATACGTGCATGTTATTGCTTCTTGTTACATTATCAAATAAATCTACCTTATGACTTTGGATACATACAACCTAGTCCTCTCCATGCGTAAAGGTGCCAAAATCTCTTAACTCCGGAAATACGATTTTTATCCAGAGTACGAATTTTAAGGTTTAAATTAGCCTTCGTCCTTCCCCTTTCTTTTTCATTTATCAGTTAGGTACAAAAATAATGTCCGTTTTTCTATGCTTGCTTTCCGAAAAATAAAAAATAAAAAATAAAAAGTAATAAACTAATATAAAATAAAAAATATAAATTATAAAATAAAAAAGAACTTTTCAAAGTGAAACTTTTCAAAATGGACATTATTTTTGCACCAACCTAATACTTTTCAGAATTTTCGTAATAATTTTTTCGAACGACTCACCATCGTAGCAGCTGTTCAGGAACATATTGAAAAAAGTTTTAAGCTAAAAAAGGTCCTGCAAATTTGGAAAGAGTAAGAGAAGAAAGAGTAATAGACTATTGAATTGCGCATCACGGTTCGATAAGGTGTTCCTCTATTTTCCTGTTGATTTCCTTACACTCAATTATTGCAACAATCATTTAGAATCCTTTATCGCTTGTTTGGAAATTTAGATACAGTTATTTTTTCCACAATGTCCTAATCCTTATCAATTGTTGACCTCAATGAAAGCTCACTGTGCAAGCTTCATCACAGTCTCCGCAATTTGCTCATATTCTTGTTCGCCGTCATCTCCGGCTCGAAGTCCGTTCCGAAGCATAACGATAATGATCTAAATTTGGAACATATAATACAAAGCTTAAGGAAAAGACAGCGACTTAGTAAAAGAAGCAAACTCTTTCGGACCAACAAAGTTTCATGAAATAAATAGACTTTTCTCTCGTGAAGTGGACTTTCAGAAAAGAGTATGCAATGATTCTTTTTGTTGAGCGCTAGGTTTTCTTAATATCTCACAATACTTGAATTTCGGACGTACCTCATCTCTTCTGTCTACCTCTACCACTTGTAGCCCATTTCCGATAAATCGTATTGTCCATTCCTGGAACAAAATCAAATAATCAGCAGAACAGATTTGGAAATGTTAAGTGCAGAGAATGGTAAGAAATAGCGGATACACCCTTTCTGTATATGGGATTTAACGCACGCAAAGACTGCGGACATATCGGCGTCTCCGTGATCGAGCGCTCTTTCGTTCCTCTTACCGTCTGCTGTCTCTCCTATGCACAAACTATCTTCATCGGACGCAAAGGCGCCCAGTCTTTGCGCGTGTCATGAATCAACGATACCTTTAAATGCTACCGTAACCCCACCATGTACAGAAAGGATGCGATTATTATCGTAGCTGCAAAAATCTCTATGTTTCGACAGCTTAGTAAAAACTTAGAAACGTAAATATCAGCAGCTTCAAGAAATCGTATAAAACGATGGATTTTTTTTACAAAGAACATTTTTTAAAATCCACGCTTATCAAGAAAGGCAAACGAGAAATGGCAAAATAATTGTTGCTCAGAGTTTTTTTAGCGAACTCTGGCAGTGGGAATAACAAGTAAAACCTACCTTTTTGTGAATGGGATGCGGCGCGTACGAAAAACCATGCCCATAGGGCTTGTTATTTGACAAAACGATATCTTCATCTGCGCCAGTAGGTGATTTTACGAGATTCCAGACTTCATCAGAGATCAGTCTCTTCTGCAAATAAAATACTGCATAACTTGCCCTCATAGTTTTGGGTTTGATGAATGGATAACTACCTTGAAAACTTCGTGAATCGCCCTTGCGAATCCTTCCGCAGTTCCAACTCCCATCACACTCATCAGTGGCAACTCGGTCACAGATGCGTCGTTGTAGGGCATGATGTCCTCACAAAACCTTTTTGATATGACTTAGAAATCTTTGTGGAAATTCTAATTTCCGTATTCTTTCTTTATTGAATTAACCGGTCTCAGGTTGAACAGGAAAGTCAAAAACCCATTTTTTTTCAAAATTTGGGATTCTACTATTTTCATGATTTTTTCGTCTGATATATTTTGGCTCAAAGATGCAGAAGTAGGGCTGACGAAAAGTAATAAAAGGTGCAGCAGATTTGCGCTCGTATTTTTTTCTATGGAAAATGAACTTTCAAAAACAGGGATCTAAAAATATCCAGTACGCGCAAAGGTAGATTGATTGTATCTTATTTTTGACATTATTTTCAGCTTATTTTGATAAATCTGGGTCATTTTACTGTGGAAAATTTGGTCACAAATTGAAATTTCTTGCTATCTCATAAATTTTGGTCTTTTCGAAGTCGTCCATTTTAGGAACGTGCTCGAACGTATTTCAAAATATGACGATTTTAGAATGATCATACTTCACCATACCCTCCTCATAATTGCAAGAAAGTATGGGTAGTTTGCTGACTTCAAATCAACATCGTATTTGTAGTGGTTCCATACCAAATGAGCAAATCTAAAATAGGGTTCCAACACATTTAAGCAGAGTTGGTTATTTTTTGGATGATTTTTCAACCTCAATGGTCTTCGTAGGTAGGAGAGTATCGACTTCCATGCTGGTGCATTTGTTATCACTGCTAATGAATGTTGACTCGTTGATGGTCGTCTACCAATGTGGAAGGTTATTTCTAGAACATATAGTTAACTGAATATATAAAGATTTGGAAACGTTGACATCCACTGACCTTGCCTCCATATTTCCTCCTCGAATATTTCTGAGATGCTGTGTTTTTCTGGATGTAGACGTTTCAGCATTTCATCTACTAGAAATCCATAGGAAAGCGCATGGTAGCCCCGTTTTGTGCCTGGTTCCCACAAAGGTTCTGCCTAGGAAGGGGTGTAAATGTGTAAATATACGAGCGACCCAACGACGCAAATGAGAAATCAAGAAAAGAGACACTCACTTCTTCAATCAGTGTAGAGATTAGCTCAGAATTTCTCGCCTCATCAACGCAAAATTCGCGTCCAAATGTGATCAGACCAGCCTTGAATTTCATATATAGAGAATGTCTCGGAAAAATCAAATACAAACTACCTTATGATCTAGCACATCTCTGACTGTGATATTTTCTTTGCCATGACGACCAAACTTCGGCCAAAATGAGGATACCTGCATGAAGTAGATTTCAATGAAACGATAGAAACTTACTATTTGACTGTGAGAGCTACGATTTGCTCTTAACTCCTACGGAAGGCATTCATAAAATTATGAACAAGGCATGAAAACGTGTATTCTTTTTGACTTCTTGTTTCTCTGTGCTTTTATGAACTTTGTGTTCAGATTTACTGAGTAAATGCAAGCAAGACTCTACTCTGCTTCAGGTCCCACTACCGCGACAGTTTTTGAGCACGCAGTAAACGAGAAACAATTTTAACAAAAATTGCATGTTTAGCGCGAATTTTCTCGCAGGGAGCTGACAAAGGGTATAGCAGTCATCTTTTTGATTCTCGATAGGTAGAGAGGCCTGGCATCGGAATTAAATAGGCATTTGATGGATTAATAACATCTTTGATAATCGTTGTCCTAGATGATTTTTGTAATCGCCACTCTCATACTCACTTCAAAAAAGGCATATATTGTCTCCTCAAAAATCTCAAAGTTTCGCAGTTTATCGTTAGCTTTTACATACTGTTTTTGGTTATGGTTGATTTATGCGTAAACTGCAGCATTTCACTGTGTATCCGGTGAATCTTGCTTGTGTAAAATTCCCATTCGACTTCTGATGAAGTTCTACAGATTGATCTTGAGCTATTGTCATTTTGAGAATGTTACATACACGGTGTTTTGAAAACTAAACCCCAGTTAAGCGTTTGACATCTCTCTCGAGACTCAGACTATCAGTGGTGGGGTGGGTGTTCCAAAATATGTATACACTGTTCCTAAAATTGTGATCACAACTTTGAAAAGCTTTACAAACTGCTGGAAGATTGAGTAGTGAAATCAGCGCACGTAAAATCTCTGGTTACCTTTTTCAGAGTTTCTGGAAACTTTTTTGAAACTTTAATCCACAATGACGCTGTGAGCCAAAAATTCCTAACATAACCTTACAGTAATGAAGAGTGATTGGTCGCAGGGCCTGGCACCAGTTGGCACGGGGCAAGCTGGATATCGTTTTTGGAACAAAAAGCAAAGGGGATATCGTTTTGTAGAAAAATTGTGACGTTTTTGTCGACGTTTTTTTTGGGGCTTTTAGGTCTAGGGTTTAGGGTCAAGGAGGGACTTCGTTTTGAAATTCTTTGGTGCCAGCTCGTGCCAAGCCCTGGTATTTCGTCCCATACTGTAATTTTAAGCTGAAGCCAGCTCTACAAGATGGTATCTTAAGGTAGGTAAAAAACGTCTTGAGAGGAGAGATATTAACGATTAAACAGTGTATACATACATTTAGGACACCCTTACTATAAAAATTCATCTCTACCTTTTTCTCGTAGTCGAGCAATCCTCTCGTAGCTAGTATTGCTGATATCAATCCAGCCCATATCTTCGTTATTGAAAATGCTATCGTTTGAGTATCATGCCTCCATAGTCTCTCAGTACTTCTAAATAATGTTTGCATTTGATCTCGCTTCTTATCAACTTTTATCAAATTATAATTTATCCCGTGGATTTTTATCCAGAAAAAAAAATGATTTTAAGGTTGAATTATTTTGAAGAGCCCGCAATTCTTCGTAATCTTGCCGATTCTCTCCCCAAAACGAATGTGGTATAGTACCTGAACGAACGAATGTGGTATAATACCTGTCAGCATAGCCTCCGTACAGGTTCACCACTAACTCTCCTTTGTGAAGGACTGCTAAGGCAAGACCCTCGTTCTCGGTGCGTAACGTTTTCCTGAATATTATGAATATTTGTTACTTATGATCTATACACAATCTGTGTCAATCCCTGCGTCTGAAGTAAATATTTTGTATATGAAGCACGCACCCGCAACGCGAGAGCCTCGCGTGCGGCCCCCAAAAATAAAACCAAGCGCCCTAGGGGTTTCAGAGCGAACGTGGCGTGAAGTCTAGTGGGGCTATTGCGCGGGTGAAAAAAGTAATTTCTCGATTGATACAGATTGTATTTTTTTCAAAAATGTCAATATACCTAAATAACTTCCGAACAGCATCAAAACGCGGGGTGGTATATCCTTGCATCTCTACGGGACGTTTGCAGAACAGTCCGTACCACCAAACAATACTTACAGCTACCATGGCAGCCATATACGGTTGACAGAGAATGTTGCCCATGGTTTGTAGAATAATTTTCTACTTATGGCAACAAGGAGAGGATTTTCAAGAGCCTAAAATCGTTCTTAAGAACGATGATGCGTAAATCGCCAACAGCTCAGACGTTTTCTATCACTCGCAAACTGCAGAGATGGAAGCTGCGAAAAAAACTTGAATTTTTTATTATTCAGTGTAAGGTTATCAAATATCTGAAATTGTACTAAAATTCTAAGCAGTCATTGGCATAATCTTGCGACACGTATTTTCATACAGCCAAGCTGATTTGATTAGAAAAAAATTGGTCCAAATAAAAAATCAAATTTGCTTATAAGGCTTGTCGGAATTCGTAACTTTTCATGGAAAACATTCATCTAGCCCAAACTTGTTTAAATAGTAAGAATAGGTCTTGAAAATTAGGAACTTTGAATTGCATTTAGTGCAAGATTTAAATTTTCTCACCTTGCACAAAAACACTCCCTTTTCATTTTCCTTTATAACAGGAAAATCGAAAATAATTAAATTCTCTCCACCGCTTCTATTCTGAAGGGTGGGAAAAATTCGTGAAGTACTATCGTAAAGTTCGCGCTATTCAAAGTCATTTCAGCTATTCTTGAGCGCATGATTTTTTATTTTTTCAGACAGGATCAAAACCGTGCAAACCCGTTAAAAATGCAAAATAATGAATTCTCAAAATTGATGTAACGAAGTTCATGGCCATCTAATAATCCAATATAGCTTATTTTGAGATATACTAGCTTTTTTCGGGTGCACTTTTGAAAATTGGCTCAAAGCAGAGAGTCCGAGAGCAAAAACGAAATGCATTAAAGGAGGATACAAAATAGCGAAATTTTCTCAAAACGTGCAATGACGGAAAATCACATGTCAAAAACACTATCGGTGACATGATGAACAAGATAAGAAGTACGCTTTTGTGGTACACACGACCTAGAATTGATCATAACCCTATCGAGCAAGCTGTCTGCGATCCCTTGAAGGAAATTAGAGCTCTGGATTCCGGAATCTACGTTATGACGAGGCGACAACTTAATATGTTCCCGAACTTTTAATTGTGGCCCCAGACAGAAAAATTCTATCACAAAGTCATTTAAAAAATGTGCAAAGAGTCACGTTTATATACGGCAAGCGATATTGCTTGTTGCGATACTGCAGTGGTTGGAAAATTTCTTTTCTTTTTCAGGAATTTCGGATATGCACAAACAGATCTAATTGCTGTGGTAATCTCCATTCTTGAAGCATCACTCCGTTTTATTCTGCAATCTTTAG